CCAGACCGATCCGGTCGCCTTGCTGTTTTGCCTAAGACATTGAACTGGGGCTGGAAATGAGGTCCTCCAGACCGATCCGGTCGCCTTGCTGTTTTACCTAAGACATTGAACTGGGGATGGAGACGAGGTCCTTCAGACTGATCCGGTCGCCTTGCTCAGTCAGTCGATTTTTACTTGTTGAAAAAGGCTTGACTTTTCTCCTTGTGAGAATAGTCCGGGCTAATTTGTTGGTGATTGCATGGGGTTGACTGAGAACAGCCTGGAAAGTAAAAATTAACTAAATAAGATACAAGACTCATGTTTTTGTGATCAGGACAAACGAGAGATGAAAACTTTGGATGAACGAACCCTTGTTTTCGCTAAACGCGTTGTGAACATGACATGCTTGCTGGCAATGACTTGTCATTCGAACTGGGGCTGGAAATGAGGTCCTCCAGACCGATCCGGTCGCCTTGCTGTTTTGCCTAAGACATTGAACTGGGGATGGAGACGAGGTCCTTCAAACTGATCCGGTCGCCTTGCTCAGTCAGTCGATTTTTGCTTGTTGAAAAAGGCTTGACTTTTCTCCTTGTGAAAATCGTCCGGGCTAATTTGTTGGTGATTGCATGGGGTTGACTGAGAACAGCCTGGAAAGTAAAAATTAACTAAATAAGATACAGGACTCATGTTTTTGTGATCAGGACAAACGAGAGATGAAAACTTTGGATGAACGAACCCTTGTTTTGGCTAAACGCGTTGTGAACATGACATGCTTGCTGGCAATGACTTGTCGTTTGTTCAGGCTCTGTCTGTTTTCTGCATAGTAGGGTAGTCTGTTAATGCTCACTTATTGCTTGAGTGATAGGTAGGTAGATGCTCACTTTTGTTTTTGCATTTGTCTTTTCGTGCATGATTGTTTTGGTAGGGCATTGGCTAGCCTCTGAGATAGTACAAGTTCTGGGAGCTTCCTTTCCTTAGGGGAGATGCTACCAAAATTTTTGCTAAATACTCAAAGTTTGTCAAGTTTCAGAGATGTCATTCAGGATAGGATATAGTTTAGTCTTTGGAGTCAGTATGAATTCTGGGAGTCTTCCTTTCTAAAGGAAGTGTTTCAGAAATTTCGACTGAAGCCAAAGAGATATTTTGAGCTAGTATAGTAAATATTCTTCAAACACACTTCCCTAAAGGAAGTGCTGCCAAAATTTTCAGGTTTATCATATCATTACCGGACGCTACTACTTAGTAGCTTAGAATACGATACGGAGTTGAACTCCGTTAACTCGATAGGCGATGTCTGCCTTGATTTTGTGACGCACGTCATTGCTACCTGCGAGTGTTCTTCGAAGTCTTGAACTTCATCAACTTCTGCTATCACTTGATAGCAGGTCGGTTTGCGACTCAACTCCTACCCACCATGATACCCACGCCCAAATGTCTGTGACCCTGTAGGCGAAAGGCATTTTCATGTGAAAGAAGACCTACCATTGGTACCTCTCTTGAATGGTCATCCAAAAGTTGTGCGAATTGGGATGAGCGGATATGCCGTTGTTGAGTGGGGGTCGGAAAGGGGCGTGTGGGACATGAACCTGGGAGCAGAGGAGTTGACCACGTTTTGTGGCATCTGCGTGTGGATTTTCATTGGATTCCATGTGTGTGCAGGTATGTATGGGAGCGATGGCTCGCTCCTGGATTTGAAAATGATATGGATGAATGAATGCAGGGTGTGAGTGACAAGGTTCAACGACGGCTGTGAGAATGACTCTCCCTGATTTCCCCCGAGACTCGCCATTTTCTTTCTCTTATTTTACTCCTGCCGTGTGCATCTAGCAAACAGGCAGGAGTAGCCGAGCGCAAGGTTTACCGCTCGACCTTAGATCAGACTGAGACTTAGCTTAGGTACGGCGAATTGCTCGCCAACCCGTGTGTACTCGTATTTTCCTTCCGCAGGGGAAGGACGAGCGTACCCCATCTCAAAAGGGGTCTTGCTTTTAAGATTATTAAATTGACGTTGGTTCTGAGCCTGGAATTTGAGGTCCTTGTCCAGGACGTCCCAGGCTCCGGTCCAACACAAAAAGGTTTCCCCCTTGAGGCGGACCTGCGCCCCTTGCTTATCGTCACCCACTGCCTAAAAAACAGGGGTGCCGCAAGGGCCGAACGACTTATCCTTCAGCTATGCAATATCGTGAAGAAGAAACCCTTCACGATATTTCACTTTCGACACTTGAGTGTCGTACGCAACCCCGAAACCCATGGGAGGTTGCACGGATGTGAGTAACGAACGCACGAAGCGTCGCCATGATAGCAGACTAAGTGAGAACACATGACTGAACGTTATGGTTCCCATGGCAGTGGCATTCTTTTTATGTAACTCTGCACAGACCTCGCTCAGACACATTGGCAGTTATGAGTTATGGGTCAGGACGTATGAAAAAGGGACTAGGCTAATTTGTTTGTACGAGTTACTTTGTTTTCTCGTGTATCGCGTGGTTGATTTAGGATGTCCTAGTCGACCGACGCTGAATCGCACGTGGGAGATCAGCGCCCCAGCGTGACGGTTCGCGTACGGGTCTGAGCTAGGCGTGGACCGCGTGTACCCCCTATGCTACAGCATACGAGAAACGCCCTCGGCTGGGCCACCTCCGTGATTGCAAGTAAAAGCTTTCGCGTGTGGTTCAGTAGCTTGGCGGGGATACGCCCACACCAAGGGATGATGACAGCTCCCGCAGGTGGAGGTAAGTTGTACCTCACGAGACCCTGTCCTGTCGTAGGGACTCGATGGAGGTATAGCTGGCGCACTCGGTCGGAGCGGCTCCGCCACTTCCCTTTTCGTGAAGCGCCTTGCAAATACTGCCAATCCTGCGTGACGCGGCCGGGAAGGTTCCCCCACCGAGGACCGTGCGCACGACAGCGTAATTTAGCGCAGCACCAGACTGCCGCCACAACGAATGCCAAGATAGATGCGATGAACACGAGTGCCGGATAGGCCTCAGTACTGCCATCTTCAGCCCTGGGTCATTTTATAGCTGTATTTTTTTGGGGCAATTGGCCTCGGTACTATCATCTGCAGCCAAACGGAATGCCCGGCCATTATATAGCTGTTTTTGGGGCAACTTCCAGTCCAGATACAGCCATAATGATTTGGGGTAATCGGCCTCAGTACTATCATCTGCAGCCAAACAGAACGCCCGGCCATTATAGCTGTATTTGGGGCATCTTTCAGTCCAGATGCAGCCATAATGATCACACATTCTATTCCTGTGAAGGCGGTCACGTAGACGACGACTCTTATCTGCAGTGATTGCACACAGATCCTTCTGGCTGTGCGATAGCGACCATTGTAGCTGTATTCGGGGCAACTTCCAGTCCAGAAACACTGATAGTTATGAAACCATGAACTTTTCTTTTGTTCTCTGAGGTTGCCCTCTCCCCCCCCCCGCCCCTTCCGCGTATTCTTTTTTTTTTTTTTTTTTCAGTCATCAATGTATTTGGGGCAACTTCCAGTCCAGAAGCAGCTATGGACGTTGGGTTTGTGGAGATGTGCAGAAGTGGCATTGAGTTTCCTAAACCTGTCTCTTATACACATCTAGATGTGTATAAGAGACAGTC